ATTCATTCAATTAGTTATTTTATATATATTTTTTATTTAATATATATCTTATTTATTTATTTACATAATATATTATTTACATTTCCATTTATTAATTCAATTAACTAGTTATATTAAATCCCAAATTCCCATAATTATATTATGGAATAATATATTATTTTTGTAATTTTAAGAATTATTAACATCATTTTTGCGGAGCGACCGGAGGTCATTATTCGAAGGCTTCGGATTTGCGATTCTCGGTTCAATCCGGAGCTGCTTTTGACCGGCGCTCGCGCCAAACTTCCAAGCCGATCTTCATCATGATGCCACAGCCTTGGCACCGCCCAGTCCGGAGCAAAGTTGGAATCCGGTTTTGGTTCCTGGCTTCTGGAATTCTATGAGGGCGTGAACATGAGCATTATCAAACAAACATCTCCACCAAAAGAAAGACATATCCTCCTTAGGGAAAAGCAAAGCTGGAAGGACAAATCTCCGATTACCCCAACGATTTGGGAGCGCGCTGTTGAAACTTCAACTGGCATTCCTTGCTCGTTGCTTCGGGACCTGCCAGATTTGTGGTTCAGGTCACTTCAACTCTGCTTTTTTAGCAGTTCAGATCACGCCAACAGTGACCTTCTTCTCGGCCCTTCTATGAATGGAGTCTTCAACAATCGGTCGCTGACCTCCAGCAAGGCCCCCCGGCACCGGCAGACGGGCAAACCAAGGAGCACACGATCGACACAGTGGCACCGAGACCTACAATCATCGTCTTCTGGCCAAACTCGGTCTTGTCCCAGTGGATCTCGTTCGAAATCCTCAAATCCGCAGACTCGCACCAAGCGTCTCCATTCCAGGATCGGTGGAGCAGGTTGGAGCAGGTTGGAGGAGTGCAGGGTCCGATCTTGGGACTTAGACTGTTGGAAAGCATTCAAGCAGTTCCAGGCACAGCTACTCATCATTCCATACCAACATCTTTTGGTAACCCCAAGTTGTCCTCAACTTGGGAGCTAGGGGGTTCCGCCCCACAAAAGGTCACATGGTGTATCACAAAAAACAACACTATGCGATGCCGGTAATGCAATCTCAATATGCTGGCACGACCAGCATTATCTGTTGAAAGAACACGGTCGCGTTCTTGAAGGTTTATGGACACATGTTGCAAGCACATCATCCATGCATTTTTTCCGGGTTGTGGGCGGAGGGTCTCACCTTGTCAGACCAGGGAGGCCCTCCAAGTGAGCGACATTCACGACGCAGGTGAGCGCTATATGGGCTATGGGCAGTGGGACCTCCGAAAGTCATTCGAACAGCACATCGACTGGTCGGAGCACTCGCGGAGTGAGAAATGTCTTCCTTTTGGCTGTAAGCTTGAATGATGTGCATTGTGATGCAGTGGGTGTGTGGTCAATGAATTGATCCAGGAAAGCAAATGAATTGATCCATGCCGTGCAAGGTCATTAATGAAACACATCAATTAAAGATCACCCCAACTGTCTATCCGGGATTCTTCTTTCACACAGCTCCGAGCATCACTGTTGAGGCAATTGAAATCAGCATCAGTGCTGTCACCAACAAGGCTAACTCCTAAGTGCGGACGTGGAGTTTAGAAGCAGAAGCAGGTGACACAGCTCACAGCTCGGCAAGAAGCAAAAACAGCTCGTACCTTTTTGATCCTGTTTGCGTCTCAGTGTCACTCCAATTCCATTCTGGCTCATGGTAGGGCTGATATATGCCATAAAGTAGAAGCGACGTGCCTGTAATGACCGTCAGCACAGTCATCTGAACGTCAGGATAGGTGGCGGTGGGGAGAGCGGCGGCAGCGGTGGCCAGCAGAACTTTCCTGCACACTTTGCACTTGCCACTGGACCTGTAAGACATATTTAACAAACAAAACATGAGCCATGAGGATGCACTGGGATACCTTGTCAATTCCCATCCCTGACAGTAAAGCTCGCCCGAACTCAAGCGTCATTCTGCACCAAAAACCAATGGCATCGGTGCTTCGGATCTACCTGACGTTTCACGGATGTGTCTTTGCGGACTCTTCAACACCAGCACGACCCCCTTGGACCATCAACCCCCGCTCCTCACAAGCCGCTCAGCTTCAAAGTATCGACACACCTGCCGTTCAGCGCGGCCTGCTTTTCTCTGGAAAGAATGCATCGATGCATCTGCAAAAGCATCCCAAACGGCGCTCCCCACAAAACCTCCTGCCCAAAGCAAACGGCCTTGGTCCAAAGTTGTCCAAAACATTGTGGACACTTCTACTTCTGGGCCAAGAAGTTTGATCAACGAAACGTTTGATCTCCGACATAGATCCCTCCTCACCCATGGGTCTGGCGTCTGAGCATGTTCCGGCCGCAAGAGGAAGGCTGGGATGCTGGAAAAAAGAAAACTGCCCGACATCGGCCTTCACATACTTCTTGGTTAGGAAGGCCTTGTAGCAGGGCACGGTCTCCTCGGACGAGCCCTACATCGGTCAATCCCGAAGTGCATGGGACCACAGCACCCGATGGGACCACAGCACCGAGCTGCCAAGGTTGGTGGAAACCAACAGCTCACGGGACCGGGTAGAAGACCCCAGCAGGACGAGGACGTGAAGCACCCCGATGTGGTTGACGGTAGTCTTCGGCTGTTCCAGGTGGATGTTGCGGTGCCGATTTGGACTCCAAAAACCTCACAGAAACCTGGTGAGAAGCCTGGTGGAGAAGATGAAGGAGGACTTGAGGCGGGGAAAGGAGAAGTGTTGGACTTGGCTCTCCGAACGGTAAGGATCTCCGAACTGCGGCCCTCGATTCCTGGATGCTGGAAGACCTTCCACAGACTTCCTGGAGGGTTTTCATCCTCCAGCAAAAGCTTCCTGTCCACACCAGTCTATTGAAGAAGCCTAATACAAAAAGTAGAACATATCCAAACAAAAGATACATTTCCAGTTGGAATCGATATAAAAACTGTGTTGACTCGGATGAGGCCGTGTCAAACGTTCAACCGAGTGGTTCGCCCCCTTCCCCAGCCACTTCTGGATGCTGGATTTCTCTGCTCGACACCTCATCGCTCGAAGACCTGGACAGTCGAAGCCAAACCAACCTGGGTCGGTGCGCCGTGCAGTTTTCGGTCCAGGTCCAGTGATCACAAAAGCTCGCTCACGGCTGTGTGCCCAGGGCGAAGGGTCTGGTAGCTGCTCTATCTGTTGTTTGGATGCTGGATGGGGAGAAGAAGCGTAGATGCACACAATTGCTTTTTCAAGTGAATGACGTGTGTCAGAGTAGCTGCAAGATCGTCAGCACTGCAAGATCGTCGTTTCCAAAACAAGCTGCAAGGCGGTGGCGAAGACCAACATGAAGCTGATCAGGACCTCAGAGTTTCTGCTTTCGACGTAGCACACTTCAATCAACACACTAACTATGACTCAATCAACCCACTAACTATGACAAATGTTCCCTGGTATAAACACCACTTTTGCGAAGCGACGATCATATCACAAAGAAGGTTTCACTGGGCTTGTCTAGCTGCCGCCTGGACAAGTTGACAGCCAAAAATGATCTCTGGTCTGTCTTCTTAAGTGTGGTTGAGCCTCCGGCGGTGGCAAAACCCTTCTCTTTCTCAAAGGGCAGGTGCTTACAAATCAGCTTTCCACCAAGAGCATCCTCCTTCAGCCTGTAGCCTTAGGAACTCTGAGGAAGGACCCCCTGAGGTTTACGACAACCACATGCAGCGAGATGTACAAAACACAATCTAGCACTACAAACTTTTATGAATCAAAAGATCGAAGCACTTCACAAACTTTTGTTCTGAATCAACATGCAAATCGAAGCACATCTTTGTTTCTGTCTCAATGGCCTCACTCAACATTGACCTCAACATCTATCAGCGGCTGCAGGGCACAACTTCCACCGACCGTATCGTATCTTGAAGGAGAACAAAAACGACTGCGGACCGAGGGGGGAACCTCTTGGGGTGGTCAGGGTTCACCTTCCCTTTCCGAACCAAATAGGAAGGCCGAACTAAACAAAAGGACGGGCGACGACCCTCCCTGAAATCGGAAGTGGATGGCACCACCTGTTTGGTTTTTGGAACGTGGCCATGCATGTTTTCCATACCACCCACTGAGCTTCCATGAATGTTTCAGGGAGTGTATATACAGTACATACCTTGAGTATGACTTGATAAGACTCCAACTTTGGAACGAAGCGTCCGATTCACTCTATTAAGGACGCTGCCATTGATTGGCAGCTGTTTTAAGCTGTTAATCTGTCGCTGGGCTCCCTGGCAAACGGCGTATTTGGCAAAGTCTGCCAGGATGGTAGGTAGAAAGCAATTGAGGCCTTCCAAATCCACTGAAAATCTCCATGCCACACTCTGCAAAACACAAACAGTCTAACCAGCCTGGGTACCAAGAGGCTGGCTGGCTGTGATGTCTCTATCAAACCAAGAAGAGCAAAAATGTGCAATCGAACAAAGTATCAAGAACATGCCACATCAAGCTGTTCCTGCTACACATGGAGTGCCCCGCGGACCAAAGTCCGTCGAGAAGAGCGTCGCACACGTCGCTTAGCAAATCTTCAGTCGCGCACGTCTGGGCGTTCAGGCCCCACATGTCTTGAAACCTCGCTCGCGGCGTCGCGTGCTTCAGCGGAAGCTGTGGCTGCCTGCCACCAAGGCCACTGGGAAACTCTTCAGGGACAGAATGAGGACCAAGACGGTTGCAATGGCCTTGGAACAGTTGCTTTAGTCGAAGTGCATCCATTTAGTTGCAGTGCAACAACAAATGAAAAGCGACTTGTGACCACCTTCCCGTCCGCCAGAATGTACAAGTGGATCTGTTGGGTAGGTTGATGCACGCTCACAAAACATGTTGGCTTTGTTGGGTCTTCCAAGTGGACAACAACTTTAGTTCGTTAGGGGTAGAAAAAGCTGGCCCTGACAGCAAACAACATCTGTCAAAGCGTCTGGACGCTGAGTTTATGACCCACGAGACATCTAAATACAAACAACAACCCATATAGAAGCATCCATAGCATGATATGATGGTGATGATGAGGCCTTTGGGCCTTTGGGGGAGATGAGGCATCCTTAGCAACTTCCCTTGGCAAATCCAAGTTTCGAGGTCCAACAAATGCACTCCATACAGCTCAGTCGCCTCCTTAGGCAGTGCAACGGTCCACTACTTGTTGCACTTCTCTCCCTGATCAATCAGTCTTCAGGGGTCGGTCTTGGTGGATGGGCTCGGTCCTGAGTGACTTAGGATGACGATTTTGGATACCAAACAGGTGGTTTTTTCGTGGGTTTTTCCATAGTTTTCACTCACTCTACTTCCAGGGTGCCTTTTGAAAAGGGAGTGTCTTTGTAATTCTTTTTGGGGATCCACTCTCGTCTCAATCGAACGGAGATGGAGAAAGATCGCTTCGGTCCTAAACCAGCCGTCGACCCCCAGGTTGGTGGCTAGCCGCGGGGGTCCCACGTGGTACATCAAATCATGAAAAACAAAATTAACTGTTCAAAACAAGCAAACACATTCTCAGAACGGACAATTCGAACATCGAACCACTCGTCTGAAATCAGGCCAAGATGCAAGTCCCACATAGGACATCAAGCAATGTGTCGATCCTGCTCCTGACAGCAATGCTTCTTCCAGAATATGGGACCAACTCATTTCATTCCACTGAGGGCCGCTTTAGTACAGCACCGCTCTGATTCAGCCAAGAAAAAGTCAGAAAGTATATATATATATATAGATCATTATAGATCTTATGTTTCCAGCCTTTCCAGGGCTGCAAAACGCAAAACGTCCGTTTCCAACGTGTTTCAAGGGCTTTTCCAACATCGTTCCACTTCGCTTCGGACTTGGCCGCCGCTCCGAACGGAAGTGGCCCCTTCCTTGCCCGGAGCCGAACTCCGACAGCCCGCTGGCAAGGGCGTAGAGGGACCGGACCTCAAAGCACGTCCGGGTCTTGCAGGTGTTGGAGTTCAGCCTGATGCCGCCAGTTCTACCAGTAGCAAGGCCATTTCTACATCCCTCAAAAGATCCAAAAACGTGGCAGCCCGGGGCGTCTCTGAAACGTGGATTCATCTCCAGCGTGGAGCACCCGACCCGAGACGGCCTTCGGCTCGACGCGCCGAACCGCGCCGAACCGCGCCCGACCACGCCGGTCGTTCTCCTCCAACCAGGGGATTCCGGACGAACGGGTGTGCTTCTCGCAAGGGTTTCAAGGAGCGAACCGACACCTTGTGACAAACCAGTTGAGGAAACACACCAGTTGAACAGATAAGATGTCATGACATGAACGTGCAGCAAGTCTTGTCAGCTCAAACTGGAGGACCCCTGAAGACCCAGGTGACTTCCGGTGACTTCCCGGTGACCTCGTTGCCACATCGTCGCAGTCAAGGAGCCACATCGGTCTTCACACTTTGCGCTGTGTCCTTAACGAGCAGCGACTGCCTTGTGGCTCACCTAGAGGTTTTGCCTGTGGCACCCTGCTAACCACTTAGATTTATCAATGCATGGACATAGAAGCGGGTTAGCCATGGTGAATTCGATACTGCGGGAGCGCCCGCCCTGGCATGTGATTATGCAAAAAAAACACTAAAAACACAGCTGTCTACATGTGTCTACAGGACCTGTTGATTCGCGGATTGTGCTCTGATTGGATGATCCACATCTACTTCCTTTCAATGGCCTGTTTGTCATCCAAGGGTCTGTGTTCATCACTGCAGCCACGATGGTTTTGGAGACCGCTGTGAAAGCCATGAGCTGGTTGATGAAGACATCAGAACCTTTGGCATCTTCCTTGGACACACCGGACAACGCTTTGTGAAGTGTGGAGCTTGATTTGTATCCTTCGGCCCACCATGTGCATGGAGTCTTGAGCGAAACCATTGGCTCGAACCAGCACGAGCGAGCGATACCCGGATGCGGATGGTAGGAACCAGCACTTGGACCACAGGCAATCCGACTGAAAGAATATGACAGGCTCTTTCCATAAACACTGCATCGAAGCTGGAGCACATTTATGGGACTAATCATTTCAAGAAGCTTGAGAACCACATGGGAGAACAAAGAAGAGAATGCCAGGACCCTCCAAGGGGTGCCCTGTCTGGAAGCCTATAGGTAGTGTGGGGTAGTCCATTGGACACCCCTTGGAGGGGTCCAGGTGAAGCAATTTCAATGTTCTGATTCCATCAAGTCTGCTTGGCCGAGAGGCATTCCCAGCTCGAAGAATGCTGGCCGCAGTGATGCCGAAGAGAAAGGTCCGCTGGGCCAGAAAAGCACCCCTTGCAAAACATCTGCGTTTCAGTGGACTTCTGAAGATCATCTTGCTTGTGCTTTCGGCGGTTTCGATCAAGAGTTTCGCTTTTGAACATACATGCTGCAGTGACCAATTGTTGATTCATCCACACAAATTCAACTTACTATGTAGCCTGTAGCAGTCTT